TTTCATATCCACACGAACCTTTATTAACAGGAAACTCTTTAAAACTTTAACAAATTAACTTATAAAGAATCACGGTCAGATCCAGAAGAAGTCTAGTAAAGTATTTTTTGGAAAACCAAAAAGAAGCCCTGATGAGAAATAATGTGCTAAAGGATGTTGGTTACAATGTGTGATGGTGGAAGTTCACTGCAAAAACACAACATCTTACCAAGAGTTTTTGTTGCCTTTTTAGTGTAAATATTTTATTACACTTCAATTAAAACAAAACTAAAATTAAAAGAAACAAAATGTAGGAGTTTTAAGTAAATAATTCCTTAGAATTGTTGAAAAATTATTAGTTATTTTACTTCACTTATAATATGGGGAAAGTTTTGCTATAGGTGAAACATGTAATGCACTGCAAAAACACAAAATCTTACCAAGTATTTTTATCTAGTTTATGGTGCAGGTATCTTGGTACACTTGAAATAAAACAAAAACTAACTTACAAGTAAAATTCCAACATGAAATATGAGGGTTTTTGAGTTAATAATTCCTTAATATTGATAAAAAAAGTTCTAGTTAAACTGCTTACAGATCATTTCACTTATAAGATAGAAAAAAAAAGTCTATCAGTGAAATGATCTGCCAGCGGAACTCGTCGTTTTTCATCAATATTAAGAAATTATTCACTGAAAACAAGCTCATATTTCTTGTTGGAAAGTTACTTATAAGTTATTCTGTCAATAGAAGACAAAAGCAAAAACTCCAGTTTTGGGTCATAATCCAAATATTATCAATAATCCCCAATCTGGTTTCTCTTTTGGAAACTTTTGGGCATTTTAGTCTGATTTATAATGAATCCGTCATGAAGGAGCTTCAAGATATTAATAATCAAGTCAAACTTGTTTCTGTTTTGCTTCCATGAATACTAAATATATATTTTTTTAAATGATATTACGTGGAAAAAACTCAATTTGTGCTGTGTAATTCAGCCTCTGGTTTGAATTTCCAGGACTGTGTTCATTTCACGCCTGTTAATGGAAACTTTTAAGGATAAAGTTGAGCAGCTGTGTTGTTGGAGTCTTGGGTCACAAAGAATTAAATTACAGATGAAATGACGTCTGCTGGAGGTTGGACACCCAGCAGTTCATTTTAAATATTTATTTCAATTCTTGGAAAAGATTAAAGGGTGAAAACAAAGAAAGAAAAAGGAAGGAGACAGAAAAATTGAATCTGATGGACCAATATAAAGTAGTGCATCACTGTGGGACGGAAGGAAAATAATACACCTACATACTAAATCTGAAAAGTGTGGTGTGTATTTGTGTAATGAATGGACGGATGGACCGGCAGACAGACAGACGGACGGATGTTTTGTTGGACGTTTGCATTTCCTGTGAAGCTTTATTGTTGTTCGTCTCTGTGATTCCTGGAAATATAACATCTTTTCCAGACAAACCAATAACACTGATCAATAATAGCACTGATCAATAGTAGAACTGATCAATAATTACACTGATGAAGGGAGCCAATCAGAGGGAGTGTTTCTTTCACAAAGATCAGTAAAATAACCACCAACAACTAACCCTGAATAGTTTTGATCCAGACATTATCTTAATAATAATCCACTAAAAACATAAAAGAAGCAGCAGCAGCATAACGTCCGGGTGTAAATGGCGACGGCGCCTTGAAACCATGTCTGTTTTCATGGCAGCTACACTGATGAGTCACTCAGTCATGAAAGTGGTTGTGACGGCGGCCGGTGAAGTTTGCGTTGCGGCGACATGACACCGGCGCTGTAATGATGCTCATTAATCATGCTGGTCTTATTCCTGCTCAAACGACTCGTGGGACTCGAGATGCAGCAATTAGTGATGAGTCACCACGTTAACGGCCGACCTCGATCCGCGCAGCGCGAGCCGCCGGGCTGACGACCAATCAGAAAGGACGACACACTTCCATGTGAGATCCAGTGGGTTCATGCAGGACGGCTGAGGCTCTGCTTCCCTCTGGAGGTGTTCTCTGCTGGACGGCTGCTAACAAGAGAACCTGGCAGACGTCAAATCGATGTGAGAGAAGAAGTCACGCTTCACTGATAAAAACTATAACTTTTAATACGCCATCTTTCTCTGCAGGTCTAAACCCAAACTTTTCCATGTAATAGCCCTCAAACAGGGCTGGTCCAAGCAGTTTTGGGGCCCTCAGCAGGTTTTCTTGGGGGCCCTTTATACCAATATGTCAACAGCAGATGCTTCTTTATTCCTATGATGCTCTCTGAGTAACATAGCTGCTATCATTAGCATAATTTGTAATTAGCTTACATTATACCAGTGTTGATTTTAACGTTTTGTCTAGTTTCTTGTGCAAATGTCTTGGTTCACTTGAACTAACTTACAAATAACTTTTCAGCAAGATATCAGATATTGGTTTTTAGGTAAATAATTCCTTAATATTGATTAAAAAGCTCTAGTTCCACTGGCAGATTATTTCACTACAATAAGGCATTTTTCCCATTTTATAAATGAAACACTTAAAGACTTAGAGATGGATGTTAGCCTACTAAAAGACTTAAATATTTAGTTTGAAAAGTTAAATATTTAGTTTACAAACTACTTAGCAAGCAAACTAAATATTTGTTTCTAACTAACTATTTAATTTGAAAGTGAAATATTTAGTTTGGAAACTAAATATTGTAAAATATATACGTGTGCATAATATGCATTCTGGCATAACCAACCCTTTGAGAACATTAATGATTTTAATGTGGCACAAAATGGAAATTATTTTTGTTCTCCTGTTTTAGGGAATCAAACATGGAGGATTATCTTCAACAACACAAAGACTTTCTATAAAATTAAATAAACTACCTGGATTATTTTATCGTTTTCTTTATTTTGTTTCTTTCCTTCCTCATTTTTCACAAACAGCCTCATCGGCGGGTCAGGCGCAAAGCAACCCACGTTTCTTTTTTTTTTAGCTTTTGATAGGATGACCTTTGTAGATATGAGGTCAAAAATAAAGCTGTTATTTTTCCGATACTGGAGTAGTGGGTGTTGATGTCAGTAAAGATCAAATGAAAAAAAAAGGAAGGAGGTTTTATTTTCGCTGCAGCATTCACACAGAGTAATTCAACGTGTTTTATAGGAGATACGACGCATTAAACACACATGAAGTGAAGATTTGACAGACATGAACAAATCTATAACAAAAGTTTCAGTTTTCAGGGAGTTTGTTTCAGAGTTGATGAGAACAGTAACTAAATGCTGCCTCGCTTTGTTTAGTCAGTCCAGTGATTTAACAACAAAGGTCAAGCATTTAGTAAAATATCTCATTTTCTTGGTGTTGGTGAGCAGCATGTGAAGGAAACATCATCTCCTGCAAATAAAAACATCTTCTCTGTTTGGAGTTCAGATGGAAAACATTTTATTCTGGTGATATCTGATGGTTGGTATCAACTGATCTAGCAACAGACATTGATTAGTTATTCAAATTAAACTCTGAATCCATGGTGACACCAGTTTTTTGTGCTTTCTGGCCTTTAGCCACATTTCTAACTTCACATTTTTAGGATCGAAAAACAAGGTATTTTGTCCATTCTGAATAAATGTTTGAATTTATATCCAAATGTTCAAAACATCTGATGCCAGTTAAATGTTAAATTTCTTAGAGATTGCACATTTGAACATATTTCATTAATGTAAATTTAGGTATGATGCTAATTAGATACATTAGGCACTTAAGGAATGAATCAGACTATTCTTTTTATATTCTGATAATTTTATTGAAGGTGCTATTCCTCGAACAAGACTTTGAAATAGAGCAAAAATATATATGTGGTGGTGCAAGAATGGAGCTTTGAGGGCCTCCAGATCTGATCCTTGTTTTGTTTTCTCGGGTTTATATTTACCAAATAACAAGAAACAGACCAAAAATGGTCGTTTTTATGGTGAAATGTCTTAAAAATGTTAAGTCAGGTATGTGCCTGTCATTACTTATTATCGAAGTACTAGATTAGGTTTCTTTAAAAGAGGTTTGATTGATGCAATGAGAGCAAAGCAGTTGTAGGTCCAACATGGATGAATTAATGTATAACTGCAACACAGACTGACAGACAAACAGCTTGATTGGATGCTTCTTGGGCTAATAGCTGCTGGAGACGCTGGAGGCAGAGAGCTCATTAGACTCTCTGTCAGTTGGCGTCAACTCACCAGGCTCAGACACACGGTGCAGCAGAAGAAGAACCACAAAGGATTTAAGGTCTAATAAAAGGGGAAAACATCTGTATTTAATTAGAAATAAAATGAGTTCTGATTATATTTGTGTCACTGGGTGAAGTGTCAGGGTGGGGGAGGAGTTAGAGGAAGGTGGCGATCCGTTGGACAAACAGATGCAAAAGGTAACGAGCACGACGACGTATTAGAGCCATTATAGTCAGGAGTACGTTTCCTCCAAAAAGTCTGAAAATATGAGAATAATCTGAGAGATTTTCTATGAAAAAAATCTGACATTTCTGAGCTTGAAAAGTTGAACATTTGCTAGGAAAATAATCTGAAAATTTTAGATGAATCTAAGAAATTTTCCTGAAAAAATTGGAAATCTGAGATTGAAAAGTTTAACATTTGCTAGAAATACTAGTTTTGAGATTAATCTAAAANCCCCGGCCCTGTCTTAGAGGCTTCACAGGGAGCGATCACGTCTCACCAAAACCTGTCTTTGGTCAAGTTCTGTTCAAGTATTTGCCTTATTTCCACTTCCATCGTACTGTGCTTCAGGCTTCAGCGTAGGTAGGCGGCCCTCCGCTTTGGCTGGCTGCCCACCCCCCACATCCCCACCCACTTTGTCCCCAGCTAAGGCTCGACTGGTGGGAGTGGGAGGAGGGAGGCACGTGTCCCAGTTAATCAGTGGGCGGCAGTAGCTCAGGGAACGAAGAAGGTGGTTTCATGTGTGCATTGGTGTTTGGGAGGTTGCAACAAATAGTCTTTAGTGTTTATTTCATTGTTTTTTGTTTGTTTTTTTGTTTTTCTTTTTAGCATGGCTCGAGCCAAAGATCTTCTTCATCTCTTTTTAGCTGACACACTTTCACTTCCTGCAAGGTTTTTGAGTCATCTTTAAGCATGTGCTGTCCGGCTCAGTATACCTATTTATGGGATGGACTCTACTTCATATTTATCTCTACCTGACCAAACTCTTAAAGTGGTTATCAATACGCCCCTTCATACGCAGAATGCGTTAAGTAGTGCGGCTCGGTGCTTCCGGGTCGGTACGGTTCAGTTAAAGCAGCAGACGACCCGATCGCACAGACTCGGTGCAGATGTCATCGCCGTTTGTCCTTCAGGTGCTCTCTTACCGCGACTGAAGCACAAGCAGATCGCATGCGACACTTCTGCCAACGGGGAGGAACAAGATGACGCTTCCCAGCTTAGAAAATCGTGTACATAAATCTTTGCAGCTCATAAACTGTTAACAGAAAACTACAAAAAAAAAATAAAATAAAATAAAACAACAAACAGTGCAGATAAAAAAAAAAAAAAAAAAACACTTTCACATTAGCGATAATCATAGAGATGTTATAGCTTCTCAGATACAATTGAAGGGATAATCAGAGTGGATGAGATGTAACTTTTTTTTTTCTTTGAGTGTTTAGTAAACTGATTTAAGGTGTGTGTATGTGTGTGTGTGGTAGCAGGGGACCAATAATCAGCCCTGCTCTTTAGCCTGCTGTAATAATTGATCCACGTTTTAGTCCAATTTGTCGTATCTTCTGTCTGAGTAAATAAAACAGGCAAAAGCCGACGCTGTTTTCTCTGGAAAAAAAAAACAAAAAAAAAAAGAAAAGTAAGTTGATTTATCTGTGGAGTTCCTGTGTCTTGATGTTTTCATCTGCAGGGAGCGGAGAAAAAGTCTGAGACTTTAAAAGGGAAAATGTGACATTTCAGGAAATAAAAAAAAAGAAAACATTTATTTTCTTTCTTGCTGAAACGTGAGACTGACACCACTTTAATATTTTCTGCCAAACTTGACCATCAGCTTAGCCCAGCATAAAGACCGGATCCCAGGAGAGAACAGCTGGTTTATCACAGAAGCAGAAATTTACCTGCCAGCATCATTAAAGCTCCTTAATTAACGCATCAGTCTGTTTCATCCACAGAATAAAAGAGCGCTAAAAACACTACCTGAAGTCTGAGGCTATTGTTCAAGATAAATGTAATATTATACAAGGCTGGGTCATGTAATAAAATGTAAAAACAGTTCTACTCTCAGAAACTAAGGTTCATAAAAATAAGTCAATCTGCAGAACCTCAGATCTTTACCAAAAGATGTCAATATGTTCTGCGTTTATTCTCAGAACAGAGTTAAAGGGGTTGAGCGTGTTCTGAATGTAGCTCCCTGCTGAGACAGAGCAATAAAATATTACCAGATGTTTGATCAGAAGTTGTCAAGTTGCCCAAATGCAGATCAGAATCATAATCCAAAGTTCACACATAGTTAAATAAAATTATTTACAAGCAAGACTTAATAAAGTTTTACTGCACAAATGCGCAGAGGGATGAATTGATTCGGAGCCATTTAACACACCGGACCGGATCAAAACCAAACTATAAAACGGGGAAACTCGCAGTTTAATGTGAGGCTGAGGGCTGTAGGGAGGGGCTGCGACGTTTACAGTTCTCAGAACAAACCAGTAGAAACTAAAGGGCTTATGCAGATGATTCTTGCAGTTCTGATGGTTTACTTCAATGGAGCCAACTAACCTCTAGGTGTGCAACTCTTTAGTAAAGAATAAATAATGAAAGTGTCGAGTTTGCACATTTCCCTGCAGCAAGCAGGACTCCTGGAGGTCACTGGTCTGGTTTGCACTTTTCTGAACAGAGTCAGTAAGAAGAAAATATTATTTTGCCTCAGGACTCCCTGATTCTTTGTGATGACGTTTTTTGGATTTTTTTTTTTTTTGCATTGAGTTAGAGTGAAAACCCAAATTTCAGATTAATTTTCTGATCTTATTTATGGAAGGAGCCACATTGATGCACTTATCAAATCCCCTCCTCTAAATGAGCATTGATTGGGTTTTTTTCTAGTTAATATAATCCAGTAGTTTCCTCAGTTTAGCATCATTTTCAGAGACTGGAGGTCACAGTGGTGTCCATCTTCTTTTGCCAAGAACTAAAATAAACACGTCTCAGTTATTGTTTGTTTTCCTTTGAACTGCAACGCTGTGCATCTTAATGGCCCATCGCCGTTACTCCTAACTGGACATTGTCAGAATAACTTCATGTTTGAGGCCTGTGTGTGTGTGTGTGTGTGTGGTATCCTCATCTGTGCAGGGAAAATGAATGCTTTAAGTGTTCCTAGTTTGATCATGTTTCCTGTTCTGACAGTTTGTAAAAGATCCACGAATGGACGGAGCTTCAGTCAAACAGAGAATATATTTTTATGTTTTAGCCTTTAATGCCATAGAGAAAGTTATAAGAGCTGTTATTTTTATTTTCCATCATGCTGCATTATGCTGTCAGTATTGTATGGAGTTTAAAAAACAAACAAACAAAAAAAAAAAGACCAAAACAAAGAATTTGTGTTGCGTGGGCATTTTGAGGAATGCTCCAGTGCAGCATTGTACCGAATTCACTCTGAAGACGATGCAGTGGGAGCCTGGTACCTTCTGTACATACTGACTTTTGTGTACATACTTCTGGTTGTGATCACCTCTGCCTTTTTCTCTTTTTATTTAGAGTTTTTTTCTTTTTCGCAGGCGTTGCTATCTGCACTGTGCTTGAATCTGAAACTTAGACAGGATGTACAGCTTTGATCTTTAAACGAAGTAATGATAAAAAGAGAAGAATGGGAAACCAACCCTGAGTGTGCGTCTTTATTTCTCACCTTGTTCAGCTGTAAAAACAACCATATAAAATATAAATACAAAACCATTTATACACAAAATCTGTTAGAATAAAGAGCAAAGTTTGTCAGATTTGACCGTGAATGCTGCTTCATTTAATGTCACTCAAATAGAAAGAACTCAGACGTCCAACATTTAGTGAACTGGAGTATCACATTATTTGACTGAGGTACGTAAAGGGCCTTGCAAAAGTATTCATATCTAACGTTTCCACATTTTGTCAGATTACAACCACAAGTTTCAATATACTGCAACTCTAAATGATTTGCAGTGCAACACGTTGCTTTTAGAAGTAATCTAATAAATTGAGTCAACTTCTGTAATTTAGCATAAGCTGTCCTGTGAAGGCTTTAGATATTTATTAGAGTATTATGAGAGAAGGAGGAACACAGCAGGCAGGTCAGCAGTGAATTTATGGAGAGGTTTAGTCTCTGGTAGACTGTTGCTGTTAATGGAGCCCAGATGTAGAAATCCCACTGCTGCTGATCGTTGCATTTTCCGCATAAACAAAAACTGGTATTTGAATCATATCGCTGCCATCTAGTGGTATGAGTTATTTCCAATTATCCATATTTTTTTTTTCCTAATTTGCTGATTAATTACCAACATTTGAATTTGTTGAAGTTCCTCTTTTAGATGAGAAATGTGTGCAGGTTCACCTTCAAACAAGACCAGTTTTGATCAAAGCATATTCATGTGTTAGAATAGCCTAGTCAAACTCCAGATCTAAAATCAATTTAGAAACTGTCAGCACTTGAAAACTGATCTTCATAGATGTTCTCGCTCCAACAAATCAGGGTTTGTGTCTCTATGTGCAAAGCTGACTTGCAGCTGTAACTGCAGCAAGACATGTTTCAATTACAGCTGAACATTAAAACTTTAACGCATCCCACCCTGAGTTAGAGTATTAACTCAGACTGAACACAAATGAACACCGTATTGTATTGATCTATTGCATAAATCTATGGCTTGTGGTAATAAAGTGACAGAATGTGGAAAAAGTCTGGGGTGTGTAAATACTGCTGTTTTACTAAAAACTGCTGCCTCACGTTCATTGACTTCTGGGAAGGTTGATGTACAGTACCTGTGAAAACTTATGTTAAAAGACATCACTGGAAGCCCACTGAAGGCAACAATGTCCTGACGCTGCAATCTGCTTGGGGAAATATTGTCACCGTTATTCCACAGATCCAGGATGCAACCTTGTTTTCAGCTGCACTTCTCTTCAGAGAGTCTCTATGGCTGCTGCTGCTGCATCTTGTCAGACTTTTTCATTTCATCGTCCGTCTGTCCCAGTTTCAGTTTTCCAGCTCCGTGGAGCTGTTATAATGAGTTGTGCTGCGAGTCCGCTCTGCTGCTTCCATAGCTGTAGAGTGGGGGTCCACCTGAGTGTGTGGGGAAGGGCACAAAAACAGGAGCTGTGAGTCCGGCACTCGCTTCTGATCAAAACAAAAGAAACCACAGCAACTTTAGGTGCAGTGTCTGCACTTCTGCCCCACGCAGATGGAGCCTGAACACTGTCAGCACCCAACTCTGCTCATCTACTCTGATTTCACCAAGTCAGCAGGGGTACATCCTTTGCTTCTGACTCACCTGCTGTCTGCCTAGAGTGTGAGTGTTGGTCAGTGGCGTACCTTCCTGACAGGAGAGTCCGATCCAGCTGTGGACACAGAGACAGCGGCCGTTGCGTCGGTCGCACTGCGCCCCATTCTTACACTCGCAGGTCTCTGCGCAGTCGGGCCCATAACGATCGCCTCTGCAGTCTGAAACAGAACCCACACAGGAACCAGATTGGTGCATGTAAAGCAGGGGTGTCAAACTCAATTTCACCCAGGGCCACTTCAGCATATTGGCGCCCCTCAATGGGCCACATTGACGGTATAAATCAGGAGTGCATCCCTGCTAAAACACACAGCAGACAAAAGGTTGACTTCCCTCATTCAGTTCTGTAGAGGCTTATAATGAGTCAATGGTCCAGGTGTGTTAGAGAAGGAATGCATCTAAAGCTGCAGATGGTAGCTCTGGAAAACTAGACTTGGGCACCTCTAGCATAAATGTATAAAAATACAATGTTAAAAATAAATTAAACACCACCTTATATTGTTAAATAACTGATTTTATGTATTGAAGTTTTAAATATTACATTTGAGTTTCTATGGCCTATAAAATGCTCGGGGGCCACATGTGGCCCGCGGGCCTTGAGTTTGACACATGTGCATTACGCCATAGAACTGCCAATTGGCAATTGAAGTAAAGTAGCTTGGATTTCAAAGAAGCCTACATTGAAGTTGATTGGCAAATGAACCATCACCAAAGAGGAAGGCTCTTGTTGTCTCACTGCACCCCAAGCAATGCATAACCTACAAAAACTGTTTCTGTCTGGTTTTGAACCATAGACCTTTTGTGTGTAAAGCAAACGTGATAACCACTACACTACAGGAACTGAACTTCTCTGCTTTGTTTCAGTTTGAGGTTCCAAAGTTGATCATGTGAGATGCAACACATGAAAATTTCAACTGAGGTTTGCACTCAGATGCCTGGATTCAGAGTACAGACCATAACACCACCGAACCCTTGTTGACCTTTAGTAAACACCTGTGATGAACAAAAATGCAAAAATCTGTTTTTGAACCAGAAACCTTTTGCATGTAAAGCAAACATGATAACCACTACACTACAGAAACTCATGCTCTTTGTAGTGTTCCTGGTAGATGATCCACATTTTGTTAGAGACTAATAACGAGCATGGAACAATGTCAAATACTTACAGATCCTCTCAGAGAGCACAGTAACTTGGTGAACAAACTGTCAGACTTGTGCCTAATTTCACATTACAGTCCATAAACTAAGCCTGGGATCAAAAAATTGTATTGAAAATGTCATTAGCAGAGACAAATGGTTCTACAGAGACTTGGCTAAATGGCTAAAAAATAAAATCAATACTTACAAATAAAAAATGGTTCAAAAATAAAATTAACACATTAAAATAAAATAAAAATATCTCTGAAATACAATCAACACTTGAAAATTAAAAATGGTTCAAAAATAATATTAACACTTCAAAATACAAAATCTCTGGAAAATAAAATATTATGTATATTATTTTGAAAAACATTAGAATATAAGCACTTTTATCAAATCTTCATTGTGGTAAGATCATGTAAATTATTCTTAAATCCATGGAAACTCAACAGTTTGTAAGGTAGGTGAGTTAGCTCAGCAGGTTAGAGACCCTACCGGTAATGCTGAGGTCATCG